TTCTGATTATTCGATTTTTAACCTGAACTATTCAATTTTTCTGATTATTCGATTTTTAACCTGAACTATTCAATTTTTCTGATTATTCGATTTTTCTGATTATTGGATTTTTAACCTGAACTATTCAATTTTTCTGATTATTCGATTTTTAACCTGAACTATTTAATTTTTATTATTAGAATCGTCCGCTTGAGCCCATTTGTGCACCTTGAAGATAAGAGCCCCAAATTGATGTTTGTCAATCCGCCAAGGAATAGCAATGCCACCAATCCTCTGACCACAAAATCTTCGACAACCATGGATATGACACGTGTGAGTGAGTTTAATCTAAGGTGTTTACTAAAGTTAGTCCCTGGTTCAAATTTAGATATAGGAATTTCGTCAGTACGCTTCCACGAAGGCGGAAATTTTTGTTGAGGAAAAGAAATCAGTGTTGATGATGGAACACACAGGTAGAACCAGAACTTCCGCAAACTCCGTGAGGCTCAGCAAGCTCGAACAGACTTCAGCCTTAGTAAGTTCAGGTACTAGAGATTCAGCTTTAAAAGAGGAAGATTGTCAAGAGGTTGTTTGGCTACTTCTTATCATCAATAAGAGGACAGACAGATAAAGCTGACGTCAACGAGCGCGCGCTCTTTGCGTTGGTTGTTTTGATCGCTAAAAATGAGAAGTTTTTATCGTTTTTGTTATTGTAAAAAACAAATTGACATCAGATTTTTATGTGTCTGTCCTCTTATTGACAATAAATTTCGCCATCACATTGTCAAAGTATGTAGTATGCGGATCCACTCGGCTACACCTCGTGGATCCACACTACTTTGACAATGTGATGACGCAATTTATTGTCAATAAGAGGACAGACACATAAAAATCTGATGTCAATTTGTTAAGTAGACTTGCATAGGTTCTAAGAATGCGTTATTAATCAAGACGGCGATCTCCTAGTGCGAAAAATTGTCAATGCCTCCAGTGAATCTATGAACACAGATCCTCGGACCCAGTAGCGGGGACCACGCCAACTTTTTCGCTTCCCGCCACTACTGACTTGGCTTCGCATCCTTTAGATGTTGAACTCAGTTTCTGGAAGAAGAATTTTCTGCGAAACATCTTCCTTTCCTGGTTAACAAGATTGCGCTAGTGACGGCACTGTTCCATGTTCCTGTTAGCTTAGGCTTTCTAACCAAGTTTCGCGATATTTTTTAATACGACGGTAATCCACGGCGAATAGTCAAAAAAATCGAACAGCTCAGGTTAAAAATCGAATATTGAGAAAAATCGAAAAGGTCAGGTTAAAAATCGAATATTGAGAAAAATCGAATAGGTCAGGTTAAAAATCGAATATTGTTAAAAATCGAATATTGAGAAAAATCGAAAAGTTCAGGTTAAAAATCGAATAATCAGAAAAATCGAATAGT